AGACCTGTTTAGACCTGGTTTAGTTTATAGACCTGGTTTAGTTTAGTCCTGTTTTAGTCCTGTTTTAGTCCTGGTTTAGACCTAGTTTAGACCTGGTTTAGTCCTGTTTCAGTCCTGGTTTAGTTCCTGTTTAGTTTCTGGTTTAGATCTAGTTTAGACCTGGTTTTAGTCCTGGTTTATAGTCCTGGTTTAGTTTCCCTGTTTTAGTTTAGTCCTGGTTTAGTCCTGGTTTAGACCCTGGTTTATATCTAGTTTAGACCTGGTTTAGACCTGTTTTAGTCCCTGGTTTAGTGTTTTAGTTTTAGACCTGTTTTAGTCTAGTTTAGACCTTCCTGTTTTTAGTCCTGGTTTGGTTTTAGTTTAGACCTGGTTTAGATCTAGTTTTACCTGTTTAGTCCTGTTTTAGACCTGGTTTAGACCTGGTTTAGTCCTTTTAGTCCTGTTTTAGAGCTAGTTTAGACCCTGGTTTAGTCCTGGTTTTAGTCCTGTTTTAGTCCTGGTTTAGTTTAGTCCTGTTTTAGTCCTGGTTTAGTCCTGTTTTGGTTTAGACCTGGTTTAGACCTGTTTTAGTCCTGTTTAGATTTAGTCCTGGTTTGTCCTTTTAGACCCTGGTTTAGACCCTGGTTTAGATCTAGTTTAGTCCTGTTTTAGTTTTAGTTTTAGTCCTGGTTAGACCTGTTTTAGTCCTGGTTTAGCTAGTTTAGACCTGGTTTAGTCCTGTTTAGTTAGACCTGTTTAACCTAGTTTAGTCCTGTTTTAGTCCTGGTTTAGACCTAGTTTTAGTCCTAGTTTAGTTTTAGTCCTGTTTAGTCCTGGTTTTAGACCTGTTTTAGTTCTGGTTTAGTCCTGTTTTAGTCCTGGTTTAGACCTGGTTTAGTCCTGGTTTAGAGTTTTAGTCCTGTTTTAGTTTTAGTCCTGGTTTAGATTCTAGTTTAGACCTGGTTTAGACCTAGGTTTAGTCCTGTTTTAGTCCTGTTTAGTTTAGATCTAGTTTAGACCTGTCCTGTTTAGTCCTGTTTTAGTCCTGGTTTAGTCTTGGTTTAGATCTAGTCCTGGTTTAGTTTAGTCCCTGGTTTAGACCTGGTTTTAGTCCTGGTTTAGACCCTGGTTAGCTTTTAGACCTGGTTTAGTCCTGTTTTTAGTTTTCCTGGTTTAGTCCTGTTTTTAGTTTAGCTGGTTTAGATCTGGTTTACCTGGTTTAGACCTGGTTTAGACCTAGTTTTAGTCCTGTTTAGTCCTGGTTTAGACCCTAGTTTAGACCTGGTTTAGACCTGGTTTAGATCTAGTTTAGTTTTACCTGTTTAGACCTAGTTTTAGTCCTGGTTTTACCTGGTTTTAGACCTGGTTTAGACCTAGTTTAGAGTTTAGACCTGTTTTTAGTCCTGGTTTTAGTCCTGTTTTAGTTTAGACCTGGTTTAGTTTTATCCTGTTTAGACCTGTTTTAGTTTAGTCCTGGTTTAGTTTAATCCTGGTTTAGTTTAGACCTGGTTTAGTCCTGTTTTAGTCCTGGTTTAGTCCTGTTTAGTCCTGGTTTAGATCTAGTTTAGTCCTGGTTTAGTCCTGGTTTAGACCTGGTTTATATCTAGTTTAGACCTGGTTTAGACCTGTTTTAGTCCTGTTTAGTCCTGTTTAGTCTAGTTTAGACCTGGTTTAGTCCTGGTTTAGACCTGGTTTAGATCTAGTTTAGACCTGTTTTAGTCCTGGTTTAGTCCTGCTTTAGTCCTGTTTTAGAGCTAGTTTAGCCCTGGTTTAGTCCTGTTTTAGTCCTGTATTAGTCCTGGTTTAGTCCTGTTTTAGTCCTGGTTTGGTCCTGGTCCTGGTTTTAGACTTGGTTTAGACCTGGTTTTAGACCTTGTTTAATAGTTTTACTGTTTTAGTCTAGTTTAGTCCTGGTTTAGATCTAGTTTAGACCTGGTTTTAGTCCTAGTTTAGTTTAGTCCTGTTTTAGTCCTGGTTTAGACCTAGTTTAGTACCTGGTTTAGTCCTGTTTTCCTAGTCCTAGTTTAGGTCCTGTTTTAGTCCTGGTTTAGACCTAGTTTTAGACCTGGTTTTAGTCCTGTTTTAGTTTTTAGTTTATCCCTGTTTTAGTTCTGGTTTAGTCCTGTTTTAGTCCTGTTTAGACCTGGTTTAGTCCTGGTTTTTAGTCCTGGTTTAGTCCTGTTTACCTGTTAGTTTAGTTTTACCTGGTTTAGTCCTGTTTTTAGTTTAATCCTGGTTTAGTTTAGTTTAGACCTGGTTTAGTCCTGTTTTAGTCCTGGTTTTGCCTGTTTTAGTCCTTGGTTTAGATCTAGTTTACCTGGACCTGGTTTAGACCTGTTTAGACCTGGTTTTAGTCCTGGTTTGTTTAGACCCGGTTTTAGACCTGGTTTAGACCTGTTTTAGTCCTGGTTTAGTCCTGTTTTAGTGCTGGTTTAGATCCTAGTTTAGACCTGGTTTAGACCTGTTTTAGTCCTGTTTTAGTCCTGTTTTAGTCCTGGTTTAGACCTGGTTTTAGACCTGTAGTTTAGACCTGGTTTAAATCTAGTTTTAGACCTGTAGACCTAGTTTAGTCCTGTTTTAGTTTAGACCTGGTTTAGACCTGTTTTAGACCTGGTTTGGTTTAGAGTCCTGGTTTAGACCTGGTTTAGGTGTTTAGTTTTAGACCTGTTTTAGTCCTGTTTTAGTCCTGTATTAGTCCTGTTTAGTCCTGTTTTAGTCCTGTTTTAGACCTGGTTTTTAGACGTTTAGATCTGGTTTTAGACCTGGTTTTTTTTTAGTTTAGACCTGTTTTTAGTTTAGTTTAGTTTTACCTGGGTTTAGACCTGGTTTTAGTCCTGGTTTAGTTTTATCGGTTTAGTTTAGACCTGGTTTAGTCCTGTTTTAGTCCTGGTTTAGTCCTGTTTTACCTGGTTTAGACCTAGTTTAGATCTAGTTTAGACCTGGTTTAGTCCGTTTTAGTTTAGACCTGGTTTAGACCTGGTTTAGTTTTAGTTTTAGTCCTGGTTTAGTCCTGGTTTAGACCTGTTTATTAGTCCTGTTTTAGTGCTGGTTTAGATCTAGTTTAGACCTGGTTTAGACCTGTTTTAGTTAGTCCTGGTTTAGTCCTGTTTTAGTCCTGGTTTAGACCTGGTTTTAGACCTGGTTTAGACCTGGTTTAAATCTAGTTTAGACCTGGTTTAGTCCTGTTTTAGTTTTGGTTTAGACCTGGTTTTAGACCTGGTTTAGACCTGGTTTAGGTGTAGTTTAGACCTGTTTTAGTCCTGTTTTAGTCCTGTTTTAGACCTGGTTTTAGACCTGGTTTTAGACCTGGTTTTAGTCCTGGTTTAGACCTGGTTTTAGACCTGGTTTTAGTCCTGGTTTAGATCTGGTTTAGACCTGGTTTAGTTTCCGGCAATGAGTGGAATTACCGGGAAAAAAAAAAAAAAAGGCGGGGGAGGGGAGTATAGCCCAAAACGCGAAAACAGGAAAATAGCGCCGTGTAATCCATTTAAAATAAAATTGTAATGGTGAGATATCTAGTCAATGTTTTTGTTAAGATTTATAGAACTTGGCACAAGTAGATTTAATCCTACTTGGAAAACTTTTAATTTTTAATTTTTTTTATTTTACAGTGTTAACACTTGTATGTTTAGGCCTATAGCCTGTGCTGTTGGCTGATCACCAAATTATTTGGGGCCATTTCAAAATATATTTTGCCTCATTGAAATATAAGAGGCTACATTCTTTATCTGTTTGTCACCTAGCCTATTTCTTCATTTTTGTTACGCAAATATCAAATGAAATAGAAAATGCTATAATTTTTTAACCGTAATAAATAAATTGGCCTCAAGAGGGCGTGATAACGCAAAGGCTGTAGTCAAAATGTAAAACAGCCCTAACTGCAAAATGAAGGACACGGATTTAATTTAAAGCAGGCCAATTGAAGCACAGTTAAATGTTGTGCCTGCTAACATTCAACAAGTAGGCCGCTATATTAAACATATACATTTATAAACCAAAGACCTTCTATAGCTCTATAATGCATAAAAAAACAAAAACAGAATATAAATTATAATATAAATTATATAAATATAAAAAAACTAAATATTTCATCAACAATAACAATGACAATATTTTCAAATCTTCTTTTAATGAGCAACACATTTATATCAGTCAGCATTGAAGTGCATTGATTAAAAAGTAAGTGCAAGTACAGATTTCGATGCATTCATCTTGACTAAAGGATTAATTTATTTGCAGTATTGCCCCCAAAAACAGTCATTCTTCAGGGCACTCTGTAACAGAAAACTCCTTTATTTGATGCTGTTCCTAATCTAAAAGATATATACTTTTCCTCAGTTTAATGTGAGTGACAGTGTGAAAAGACTGCCTTAAACTGCTGTCACTTCAGTCCAACATCTGACCTCAAAATCTGTCATGCCGCCTGACTCCAAACTTTAGGTTTTTCCATTTCTTCATAGGAACACTGCAACTGAATCAAGCCAGTGGAAGCACAAATGTCTGTGAGAAGCACTAGTTTAGTGCAATAGATTCACACGTGGTAACCTTGCCACTTAAAACTGGCTACCGCTGCATAGAAGTGGGTAGAGTTCTTCTCACAGCCCCATCGATAGGAGTTGTAACTCAGGGAAGCGCTTTTGTGGTCATGTCACCAGAGCAAGGATATTAAGAATTTTGAGGTAATAAAAACAAATAACAGCATGGAGTTATCTGTTGAAACATATTGTAGCAGTATCTTGGATTCTGTCATCAGAATTTGGATAATACTTATTGAAACCATACGGCTTTACAATAAATGCAACTTGGCCATATGATGGCAAAACTCTGGAGCGGAAGACCCTTGGACTCTAGCTGCTCTCGGAGGATGTGGGTGGTGCTGTGGAGGAGGAGCGCCGCCGAGACACAGACTGTGAGCGCTCAGGGCTGTGTTTGTCGTACGGCTGCATCTGCACCTCCAGAAAGTCTCTGTGCTGCTGGCTGATCACCTGGCTGATGAGTGTAGGTAGGGCCTGCAGGTTACTCAGAAGAGTCTCCAGCTTAGTCTCCAACAATCCAATCCTCTTGTCCATGTCCTCTCCTCGCTCATTCAAGTCCGAAATCATGTCATACATGATGTTCTGAGTCTGCAACAGGGCACAGGCACAACATTACTCACAAATACAAGGTATTGCATTGAACCTAGTACACTATGATGTAAATACACTTTCAGTATCGTAAGGTTTATTACAAACAGAGAAATGCACAGGATTTTTTTTTTGTTCAGTAATAGTAGCAAGAATGCAAATAATGTGCTCTTCTGTCACGATTTTTGCTTTGACACAGGCAGCTGGGGCTCAGGTTTTCCGAAACTTATCATTAAGAAGATGAACCAGTAACAAGAACAATTTTTTAAAAAAGATATGAGAAAACATTATGATGACAGATTATGACATGTTTGACATTCAACCTCAAAAATTAGTACATTTCTACAAAAATAACTGAGAGACTGACCCCAAACAGCGTAGGAATTTGTCTTTGTATTGTGTCTATCAGTTTAGATGCGTTCACAACCTTGACGATACAAGCAGGAGTTGCTGAGTTTGTGTGTCACTTTTCTATGTTCTCCTACTCCCCAAAAACTACCTTAGCTGCTGATTTGTAATTTCACACACTCAGTCTTGAAACCCAGTCAACCCCATGCCCATGCCCATGTCACACTGGGATGAAGGGGTGCGAGTGATGCTGCCGGAGGGAGGTTTGTGCAGTATTATTCAGCTCATGACTAATAATCCCTGGCAGCCAGGAGGCACAGCCATCCATCACTTACCTTGTCCTGGTCTGAAGTGAGGCGGGGAGATGAGAAGCGCTGTTTATATGAATCGGCCTGGGCTAAAGAGGCACAACATCCAATTGCTACACTCCCTGTATCTCTGTCTGACACCATATTATACTCTATTAGAGCAACTGCTTTGAACAGGGAATGCATGGGGTGTGTAAACATACAAATAATAAACATGAAATGTACTCTACATCATAATACTATAAGCAGGTTCAAGGCAGGTCCAGGTTTACCCAAGTGCAAAATGGGGCACTGCATCCTCATTTGATGTATATTAAATGATCACAGTTTGGAAAAGTATTGTCTTTGGACACTTTTGAAAACCATTGGTCTTTTTGTACAAAATAATGTTTTTTACATTGCATAACATCAACCAGGAGGCCTACAAAGTGGCTATATAGTTTGTGTTAATGGAAAGCCCTTTATAATAGCCTTACATAAATCCACAACCTGTATTAGTGTCTGTTAGGGTGACATTTTAACTGAAATTAGAAATACTTCCGTAGGATAAATATGTGATGGACCTATACTAATGTGAATAACAACTTAACTGTGTAAAAGTTATACTAGTATTAACATACACTTCCACTGCATAAAAAAGTGATTGGATATTGAGAAAAGGCATTTTTCCTTTCATGATGAACTGTAAACATATTAGAGTGGAGGAAGAAGAAAAGAAGTGAAAGGAGAATAGCTTAAAGGTGCAATTGTGCAATTTGGATATGAATAATTTAACCAGGACTGCAGCCATGGAGAAGCACTGTGGAAGAAATGCTACTGTTGTCAGCACCTTTTGTGTCAAACACCTGTGTTAATGTTACTGGTCATGGTGACACACAGTGATCTGAGCACATTCTCAAAGCACTGCAGCAGTAATACACTTGCCAACATGCAGGCTGCTCTATTTAGGGCCATTATCTGCTGCAAGAGTGAGAAACAATACTGCCCTCTTCTGGTAATAAGATCATATAACTACAATATATTCGCTTCACATCACCACACTATCACACTATCCTACTATCCTAACCATCCTAGATTGAATGCTGTTGTCCAGATCAAGACAATTACAATTAGTATTAACTACATATTAACTAATGCCATGACATACTGGCCTGAATTGCTTTCAAGGAGAGGAGCTGAATGTAGAAGCGCACTACCACTCTCTCCACTGCTGCGTGTGCCTCTGGCTGAATCATCAGATCACTGTGTCTCCCTTCCCAGGTTACTCTTTCTGCTGTGTCAGGCTGGCACAGCGCCTGGTCTTTCCCTAAGGTTTGTCAACTTGTGTTTAGAGCATCTGGAGACACACATCTGAGAATACACAAAGTGAAAATTACTATTGGATTTGTGCATGTATACAAGTTATCACTTTTGTCCTGAAGCATGACAATGCCATGACAAGTTGCATTATCACAAGGTTTTAAGTCATCAGCACACAGAAAGCCTGTCTGTTTATTTGACACCTGTAGACTTTGATCATATTAGAGAACACAGGGAAGCAGCATGCAAGCAGTTGAGTCACACAGAAGAAAGTGCCCCATGGTACAATGAAGCAGTGAGCTGTTAGTCCAGCTTACCTTTGCAAGATCCACTAGTGAGTTTGCCTGGTCATTCAGCTTGCGTTGCTCCATTTTAACACTTCTCAATCTGAACAAAAGACCATTCAGAACCCAATAAATCATCGCTATCAGTTGGTGATTGAAGTTGTGCACACAAGCGGCATACACGCAGAGCACTCCTAGGACATGCATTGAATGTGTTGTTAATGCAGTGGTCGCAGGGTCAGTCTGTTTGGTTCAGCTGCATGCAAGTGACAGGAGATTACAGAGGAGAGCTGCCACTAAGAAGAATGAACTGTTCCAGGAGCAACTCATGTCATTTGTTACAAAATCTACAAAGGGGCTTCAGATAAATGAGAGAATTTTAACAGGCAAAGTGTAAAGGATATAAAAGAAAGATGGCCGTTGTTTACTATTGCCTGGGCTGTCCTTCTGCATACTCCAGGTTATTGTTTACAGCTCATAAATTATTAAGTTGCAGTTCAAGCCACAGATGTTACTTCTTACTTTATGCACGCAAGGAACTATAATGTTAAAGCCTAGTGTAAAAATGTTAAACAGTTGCCGCTGTAGCTTAACCACAATATGCAAGCCTATCAAGATGCAGTCATTTCTAATCATCAATTATATGCTTGAGTCTTTTTAATCGAGAGGTCCACAACAAATTCTCTATCAGTAAAAACATGATTTAATCTTTTGTTGTGTTAAATTGTAATAATTTATTGTCTTGTTTGGTTGTTGAGGAAACAAAGCCATTTTCATTAGTTTGTAATATCACTTTTTTGCCAAGTTGCCCAGCCCTTCTTTGCGCTGTCCCAGCTCAGACAATTTGGAGAATGTTTTCTGATATATATATATATATATATATATATATATATATATATATATATATATATATATATATATATATATATATATATATATATATATATATATATATATATATATATATATATATATATATATATAAAAATGGGAGCCCACTTTTTTAACTTAAGAAAAAACGCAAGGAAGTGAAAAAAAACAGCCTTAATAAGTCACATTTTCTGTTTAATTAGACTTCCAAAATCTGTTTCCTTCTTCTTTTAAGGCTTGAAAAGAACAATGGTACAGTATTGTACAGTGTGTGGACCACATGTGGTCTACAATATTAAGCACTATTTTTTCTTAAAGTTTGTGCCCACGTGGGCTAAATTATTTTGAGCACAATAAGTAGGACTGGCTTGTGGTATTAAGTCAGTTAGCATCACAGATTTAGAGTACATACCCTGTATATCTTACAAAGACCAACTGTGCTCTGTGAATTAAATACAAACATCAGTGAAGGTCAAAAGAGGATTTAAAGAGGTTATTAGAGATCTGCTAATTAGTCATGATGCAACCAATTTTATGCAATGCAGCATTGTTTTTATGCTTCCTGAATATGTGGAATAAAGGGATGACTCAAGAACCACCTATTCAATAGATACAATAGAGCCATCAATCAATCAAAAAGTAAATTACAGGAATCTTAAAGAATGAAATAGTAAATAATCAATGTTAAATGACAGCAGTTGATGTAAGTCCTGTTAGATTAATGTGTTTCACAGTTGGATGACCAGTAGCTGCAGGGGGCAACATGAGGTCACTCTGAGGAAGCCTATGGACCTGGCCTGAATATCCAATGCATCCTATTGCCTTGACTCAGTCAATCACTCATCAGAGGCACTACTCGTTTCCAACAGGGCACTCTCTTTCTGCTTGTTATTCATCAGGGGAAACAGCTACGCTAAGCTTTTCATTAGATCCCCAGTAAATCTGTTCAGGCAATCTCAGTTATTGCAGTGCTACATTTTGTCATGCTCCTGACTTCATCTCACTGTAGAAACCACTGCTAACATGGTGGTGAGGATTCATTTTAACCTTACATTGCTTGGCCACTGAAACAACTTTACACATCCCTCAGCTAACAGAGATACACTGCCCCCCTATGGTGCACACGTCACCCTTGTTTATGGAGTAGACAGCAATCACGATAGTGAAAAACTGAACATCAACTTTTAGCAGCAATTTCAGACTGTTTATAGTACAAAGACAGTTTTTACAAAAAAAAGTTTTTTATTTAAAACAGCCTTACATGAATTAAATATATATTATAACAGAGATTTATGCTTGTTTAGCATAGAATCAATATTTAAATATTACTTATTCATTACCAAGAGTTGCCTATTAGAATGGCATGTCATGCATCGATACAGAATCATTTCTATATTCTCAAGCTCAGATTGTTATGTTGAATAAATTTTTTGTTGAATGTTGAATTGACAGCATGTGTGGCTGTAAAAAATATGTTTGTTGTTAAAATGCCACAGCTACATTTAATGCCTCAGAACATAATCTCCCTAGATATGAAATGCCCCACCCAGACAACCTTTTTGGACTTTTCAACTTATAACTTATCTGATAATTCCTCTTAACGCACAGAAGTATGACAGCTGGGTATTATGCTGTTAATGCCATGATAACTCCAAATCATTGCTACGAAGTCATCCAAGAGGGAAATGAAGGAAATGTGGCTGCAAATGTAGTACCAGGCGAAACAATGGTTCCACATGCCGAAAAGATGACCCTGAGCCTAATTAGCACAAAAGCGTGACTGCTAAGTGCTACAACATGACTAGAGGGGATAGAGTGAATGAGATAGTTTGCTGCTCGAGTTGTCATCTTTCGGTATGTGAAAGCACAGTCGGCTAAAGTTTAATCAGTGTCTTCCTGATTAAAGTTGATATTCTCATCACATCCATGCAGAAATGGGAAGACCGGAACCCTCCATCAATGATAATTGAAATTCACTTGAGGTGGGTGTAACGTGTTTACATAGGGTGCAGTCAGTAGAAGAAAATAAAACAATGTTTGGTGACATTTAAAGTGTGGAGAGAGGCATAAACCAGCAAATGTCAGATTAAAGTGCACATAATTCAAATGACATGCTTTGCAGAAAGAAAACTAATAATTTAAAGCTTGTTTGCTAAAGGAAATATATCATTGTAAGGTTGTGATTCTATTTTTATATTCTTGGTGACATGAATTTCACTTATCAAATGAGGGAGTGTAAAGTTTAGTCACATTATTGGGTTCAAGCTCTCATTTAGGCATGCACACAACAAGTCTGTATCTACAGATGAGGGGTAGACTTACTTCCGCGCTCTATCGCATTGTGTTGACACAAACAGGAAAAAAGGAAACATGAAGTAGACAAATGAGATATTGCAACATTGTAAAAACACACTTAGGTGGTGAATGCCTGACATGATGTGTGGCTGTTGTAGCCCTCATCCCTACAGTGGCTCTAGAAATAATGTTATCTCAGAACTACTCTGCCTTTCCTACTCCCTCCTGCCAGAGCTGATTATAAAAAAATGCACTAACCTTCTTAACATCAGTCTAGAGCCTTGTACACAACAACAACAACTGCTACCAGCCCATGTCTGTATATTTAAACTTGAGTAATGTTCATATTCCCCTGTTGGTTAAGTTAAGTTAAGTTACAGTTTTGTGCTGTCTATCTCCTTACTGAGGTCAAGGGCAACTTTAGCCTTAATATAAGCAGCTTGAACATCATAGCCTGCATAGAGATAGCTGCTGGCCACACTTAAGTTCTCTGCGATAAGGTGCACAATCACACCACCCACAAACAAATGCTGAGTTTGAAGATAAAGCCACCACAGAAGGAGGATATCATGCTGAGTAAACGTCCTCACACACTGGGCCAGAAATGACTTTTACTACAAGAATATACAGCTTCAGCTCAGAGGGGTTTCCATGATTAGACTGTCCCACAGTCTAAGGGTGACATGAGACATAATGCCTTTGCAACTGAAAAATATCCTATTTCCCTATTTTACGTTTTAAAGTTTTAAGTCTACAAATACAACTTGTATGTATGTGAGTTGCATTGAGCATGCAGGCACAATTGAACATCCTACGCTTCAAAGTGTGCACCTTAAACAAACGATAGACACGAGAGAGCACACGAGCACAGAGAACCAAAAACATAAACTTCAAAGCAAATACACCTACCAACAGAGGACACTTACAGAGCCTATGAAGTTATGAATTACACATTCAGGAATTATTCGTTTAGTAACCCTTTATCTTGTTGTAACGGACTGTGGGTACTGCATGGTTTGTGGGCATGCAGGCACTATAGGGTATAAAAAAAAAAGAGGGAGGTGAAGCTACAATCAATATTGTTTAGCAGTTAGATAGCACTTTGAGGTTCCTCTGGGAGCCACTGAAAGACTAGCTGACAGGTAAATGTCCAAACAGCCACGAGCAGAGGACAAAGCAACATGTGTGAGCTTGTGGGCCAGCCTGACACCAGCTAAAGGTGCACAGAGGAGCGCAGTTCACCAAAGCAAGATTAGATTAGAAAAAACAAAATGTCACCACTATTGCATACTGTTGCTACAGGTGTCAAACAATTCAGATTTCAGCTTAGGTTAGAACAAAGCACCACTGATAGAGCTGATCAGTTATGCCTGTGTGGTACCTACTGGTGAATGGCTTGGAGAAACTTCCTCTGGTGCTTCCTGACTTTGGCATGGTCCATCTTTCTCACTAGTTTGGTGTTTTTGTAGATGAGCCACGTCTCCCTGAGAACATTCGCAGCTGTGTTTTTCACCTGAAGAACCAAAAGCATATTAGTCATTCAATATACAAAATAATTACCTAAAATTAAGTGACTTACTCTTTTTGTTAGCTGGGTGTCCATCATAAAATTGTGGACATGTTTTTCAGCTTTGGTTAGTTCCAGTTTTTTTGCCACAACAGCCACCACAAGAGCAGTGCAGCCAGCCCCCTGAAAAAGACAGACATACACTTTTATAAGGTTGAAAGACATTATAAAGGTGCTTTTTTGTTAGTTTTTTTTGTTTGTTTGATTCAGTTTTAGTATCATGTCATAATGTATTATTATCATGCTTCAGGGCAATTTGTGTTGTTGTGTAATGCAGTCTTGAGATTAACATGCTGGACTGTATGTACAGCATGTGTCCTCTTTGTGGTGGATTGCATCTCCCTTTTTACTCTTTTTGCTCTTGCTTTTACTAATTATTTGTGCTAGTATGGATTCATAAGGAATAATTAGGTACTATAAGCCATATGTGTACTCTGGGGTAAATAAATATGATAGCTCTCACCATAATGCCTGTTATAAGGCAGACTCCTTTCCCACAGTAAGTGTTTGGGACCATGTCTCCATATCCAATAGTAAGAAATGTGATTGAGATCAACCACATGGCTCCTAGAAAGTTGCTGGTTATGTCCTGGTTGTCATGATACCTGCAATAAATAATAAATGAAATAGATCCTCCAGCTCCATGTACAGAAATGTATCTTCTACTGCTTAGGCATCAGGGTCTTCTGTAATTTTGATGCAAAATAGAATTGTGTGAAAGATTAGATAAGAATTCATACATATATATATTAGTAAAATGATTCTACAATAATCACCATACCTTTATCATCATCAAACAGCACCTAAGCCTTGACAGTGGTCTTAAAGTTGAATTTTCAAAATCAATAAACATTCATGTATTTTTTCAGTATAAATGTGCTCTTTACACAGGATATTATATGACTAATACTGTTGTCTCTCTGTTGAGTGTTATACACAATCCCACTTGACTGTATGACTTTTTTTTTATGCATCATACATGTTTGATTTCATAGCATGAGAAAGCTATTCAGCACCTCTCGCAGGCTCGGACCGTCCATGCGGCAATGATCCACAGCGAGATGGTGAAGACTAGCAGCACCGTCCCGGGGCAAATGGTCATGAGAGTTTTCATCACAAAGCGTGTGTTAAAGTTGATCTTGTTGAGGGCACCGATGCTTCGTGAAGAGGCGTCCGTGAAGAGCTTACTGTGCAACAACATAACACGGGCGATGAGGTACAGGCGGAGGAACATGGGGATGGATAAGATAATGTCCACATCTGCGTCAGTCTTGGATGGCACATAGGAGTATGCCAGGCGTGCAGTCCAAGTGAAGGTGTAGTTCCCTGGGATGGGGTGGATGGCGCACACCAGGATCTCCAAGCAGATGAAGAAGATGCGCTCATAGGTCATGGCTATCCTCCAGTCATCTGCTGCATTGTCCACCATGAATAACTGCAAAACAAAGAGCACCTTACAGGGTCCATATTCTGTCATTTTATGATCACCAACATAATTGGAGTTGTTTTTTGTGTAACTCTCATATGTTTAACACACAAACCCTGCATAGTTCAAGAAGTAATATAAGAAGTGCTCCACTGTATTTTTAAACTCCAGTGACTAGTGTATGTATCATTCAACCCTGCATTTGCCAATCTCTACTGAACTAAAGGTAAAGGGTAGCTGTTAACTTGGGAACAAAGCATTTTTAACTTTGGAGATGTAGACAGACTAATAAAGGGTTACTCAAACATGTGTGAATGAAACAAAACAAAAGGTAACAACATCATAACTTGGCTAAAAGCTCAAAAGAGTCAATTCTGTGTAATATAGGACCTTTAAGACTAACAGGGAGCTGGCTAGCATTTCCATCAAGGCTGACAAAAAAACTACAAGAAATCATTAAACTCTTTTATTAAAGGCCCCAGGTTATGTTTCTCTTGGCAAGAATTTTTCACAAACCAGGTACTGCAAATTACTTTTTTTTTTATTATATAAATACAGTGACTGTAATAATTGTATTGATTTCATTTGAGTAATGGTAAATAAAAGGACCATAGCAGTAGACTATAAAACAGAAAGAAATGTTCTTTACAACAGAGAGTGGACTTTTTTAAGAATTCCATTTGATTGTAAAAATGAAAACAAAAAATGTATAGGCCCTTTAGATGGTCAGAGCCCATAATTTTTCTTTAATTTAGGGCACCACAGAAAAGGACTTCTTCACTTTTCCAGGATTGCTCTTGAAGCTCTTGAATTAAGTGTCTGCGATCTTCTGCTGCAAAAAGAAAATAATTTCCTTTTGACTTTGTTGCCTGCAAAATTTTGTTTGTGTAAAAATCCTACTCTGTTTCTAATACCAAATGGCAATGTAGTAACAAAGAATAGGACACACATAAGACACACCATAGTGGTAGAGTGTATGTGTGTGTGTGTGCGTGTGGAGGTGTGTGCGTGTGGTGTGTGTGTGTGTATAAGTGGTCCTCTGTAAGTGTTGTTCAGTGCAGTGACACTGGACTGCAGCTGATGAGAACAGCTGTGGCTCCACATTAGCGTGGCTTGTGCTGGCCTGGTGCTCTGTCCAGAAGGTGTTTGGCGTTCACAGGGGAGCTCCATGTGGGCGGATCAGTGTGCCCCTCATCAGTCACACACCTCCAATGTCACACAGGGGCCCCTCTTCATCACATCAATCCTCTGTGCACTTATCTCCAGTCAGGACACTCTGACAACTCGACCACACCTCCTGCAGGAGACCACACGCCACCTTCCCACTTGTACACACAATCTCCATCTCAGAGCTCAGATATTGGTGTGTGCTGCAGATTAAACACCATCAAACTGTATTAGACACTCCTGCATTTGTCAAAGCGCTGCTCTCGCTGACATGCCTTACTGCTCTTCCTCCACACCAGCTCTTTCCACTCAATCACCCCAAGGTCCTGCACTGTGCATGCGGCATCACAACCGCCAGTAGATATTTCAGAAAATGTTGTCAGCAAATACAGCAGAGGTTTCCTATCGGCTTGTTTTTTTCTCTCTGAAAGCCTTTCTGAGCAGTGAGAGAAAAACGCACATGATTACATTCTGCCGAGGCAGCCTTAATGTGCTTGAATTACAGCAGTAGATCTAAATACCTTCATACTTATACAGGGTTTGTGCTTAGCATTTTTCGCAACGAGTTTTCACAGGTCAAGCCATCCTTAGCTTATCTTTAAGCAGGAGGATTTCGCTGAGTGCTTCTCTATTCCCCATAAGTGTGTCTGTGTTTAGCTATGAATAAAAGGCTTAAAAGCTCTTTATGATTTTAGCTGTGTAAGTATGAAATATAAAATGTTCATTTATAAGTCAAAACTGCAGTTTTCAGAGGAGAGTAAAATAGTCATACAGTGTCAGGGTTAACATTATAACTCGGCTGCCTGCCAGCTAGCTCCATTCAGTTTAATTTGGTAATTCTTCGAACAGAAATAAAAATGTGGGCTGTTCTGAAAGGGCTAATGGGATCAGTGCCCTAGATTGTAAATTTAACAGTGATATGTTACATAAAATTGAATTGCTGAAATAGTAATAATTCTCCCATTGAGAGAGGCCCCTTTCAACATGTTCAATTCAAGGACAAAGGGAGCAGGGATCGATAGTGGACATACTCGAGTGCTCCACATAGTTCAGCCTGACAGCTCTAACTCCACAATAGCAGCATTCCCACACAGACTCATTATACTGCAGCTTGTTTGGGAGCCAGAACAAGAAATATCAACTGTCAGCACGCTGCCACATTACAGCGGACAACTGACACTGCCAACACATGTCCCCTGACAAACTCTGTTCTTTCAAATGTATTTAAAAGCCATAATCAAAGCCCATAGAGCACACAGAGAAAATAAAGGGATTCAATTTTCAGAGGCAGTTGTTCATATCAGATGAGCGACACTGAGCTCTTTTAACAAACAGACATCTGTCAATTCAAGTGTGTAACTCTAACCACACACGTCCTGAGTGTAATGTAGACTCGGAAACACAAGCTGTGACTGCTGTCCGCCACGCTTACTAATTTACACCATTCCACCATGAAAAACGCCTGGAACTATTGTTTGCACGTGACACCCACGCCACAGTTTTCATTTACAGCCTGCCCAAGCCATACTGTTAAATGCGTTTACAAAGTTTGTTACCTCAAAACAATGTGATTAAACATTTAAAGGCAGTTGCATAAGGAAAGCCTACTTGTGGCTAAAAGCAATTATGGTAATGGATGACCTGAAACACAATACACAAGGGCCCTTTAACTCCCAGCATCACATATTCCACACAGGCAGCACAACAAATGGAGGTGACACATATAATGGCTACTGTTGAGACCCTTTGACTAGTTATGTCAAAGTTATTAATATGGAAAAGTCCTTAAATACCAACATGTGTGCAATGCCCCTGAACCATTAATGACTGACCTAGATTTAATATTGACCTGACCATTAGACTTTTAATTGTACTGTACTTTTTAAATTTCTTTAATTAGGCCTATGTAATTAATCTAAAGTAAATATGCAACTTTGTATACAGATTTGTGGTCAGACTTTACTTTTAAACAATCACATGCTCATTAAATGTAGACGACTGCTGAACTCATCCAAGTTTACAACCTATTCTTCAATATTAATAGTATTGCTTGTTCCTTGACCAACTAGTGGCCCCTGATGAAAAGTAAATTCCAAATGCCCATTGTACATTTACATAGACAAGAAGGAGCACCTGTCCTGCAACATTTGCCCCACCAATGCACTCAAACAAGAGGTACACTGAGGAAGTGGTACATCACTAGAAGAATTATAAGGCCCAAGACCCTATACTTTTTGCCCTGCATAGACTGGTTTGGCAAACTCCCAGATAGGCTTTTGAGTCACTCATGAGTCGCTCACAATCTGCTAAAATTGCATTTTTTAAAAATGTGTATAGTGTGCCAAGGGGGCTTCATGGATATAATATAGTGAACATGTACAAGAAGGGGTCAATGTTTTGAGCTCTGGAGAGGGAGTTGGACTACACCTACACAAGGATTGTTGAAATATGTATAAATGAAACAAAATACAAAAATATCAAATATATTTTTGATCTGCCTCCCCAAATGTTTTCTTCTCTAAACATTATATTTCAGAATTCCACCAGCTCGTTCTTTTGAAAAAGCATAGGCACTCCATTATGATGCAACTCTCTAGCACAGTTTGCGTTACGCAGGCAGGTGAGTGAGCTGACTATGAAAAACATTTAGCCAAATTTATTGGCATAAGTTTGTTGGCATAATTCTGCCATTCATCTGATTTATGCATTTAAAGTAAACATGTACAGAATCCAGAAGATGAACATAGGATGGTTGTTGGGCCCCGGTTTATCCTTCAAACTAATTCAATGAATTATGAATAACTGATAATAGAAATAATCAACAACTAATTTAGAAAGGATCAGATGAGATACAGATTTAGATTTAATTTAAAATAAATCATTTGTGCTATAGAGTTCACACATTTTGCTTCTCAGTAGGTGTAACTAACCAGTGTTAATCCAAGACAATGAAGAACAATGATACATTGGAACAGTTAAATGATGAGTGGTTGTAAGAAAAGACAGTAAAGACTCTAGCACCTCTGACATGCTGCCTTTTGTTTTGTGATGGGGACAAAATAGAATGTAATCACTGAGAGTGTGTGCCCTTCGCTCTCTGAGAGTAAGTTCACTACACATCAGGGCAGAGGCCTCCTCGGAGCACATAATAGTGTTTCATTTTATTAAGACGTGGCTATCTGCACATGGCACGAGAGCTCACCTGTGACTGGGGCTGGGTTGGTTACTGGTTTCACTACGCTCAATACAACTAATGGAGTCCAGCTCAATATTTAATCTGTGTAATGCAGAGATGGGAACATATATCTTGTCACTGAGGATGAAATCGCTCAATCTCATTAGTGAATTAGGTTGAGAGGTTCAGTCCAATTAGACTTTAATGTAATGCTTTATTTATGATATCAAAGCGAGCCACTAAGAGGCCACTTTGCTGAGTAAATCCAAAGCTGCAAACCATTCACCAGTCTGCTTTTGTCTCAGAAATTAAGTCTCACATTTGCATATTCCCTTTCCTGTATGAACAGAGTCAGGGCTAAGGGAGCCTTGAGAATATAAAAGTCTGTATACATTTCTTAAAAGGATCACTGTCACTGCCAACCTGCTCACATTCATAAATCTGAACAAGTCTGGAAGTTAAAGCAGCATGATATATCATCAAAGAATATGTCAAAGAAATACTGTAATTGTGAAAACACACTTGAGGTTAGGCCAAGCAGGACCTAACCTCAGAATCTGTGACCCGACAAAAGGACCAAAGAGCCATAGTGCAGTGCAGACAGACACAGTATAGTGTGGTCTTTAGGAGACTTAGTGCAGTGGCCCTTGTAGACTGTACGTCCAGT